TATAAATTTATAAAGCATTATTTGATATGTAGTAATCAAATAAAAATTAGTTAATTTCTCTTGTTTTATCTAATCAAAAATTAATAAAATTTTAATCAGTGTATAAAGTTTAACAAATAGTTTCCAACGCCAAGTTTTGTGCTCCAGACAAAATTATAATTGTTTTGATTAGTTTAACTTGAACGGTAGCATTTTCATTTTGAAGATTAATGTAGTAAAGCACCAGGAAATACACTAAAACAAAAAAAATAAAACTGGCAGGAAATACTCTTCTCGCCCAGTAGTCAATTAGTCCAGTGTCTTTAATGAGAACACACTTCAGCTGTCCTCCATTGTCGCATCTTTTTCTCCTTTTCTCCCTTCTCTCCAACTTGACGTCGTAGTAGCCAATTGTGGCGTACTCAATGAGAGAAAGAAAAACCTGCGCAAAGCAGACAAATAGGTAAACATCAAGTGCGGTCAATTGAGATATTTTAGGCAGGTCAGTGTTGAGTGTCGTCGTGAGGGTGGTCATGGTGAGCACTGTCGTCACGCCCAGTGCCACCCGGGTCTGACTGCCCCTGTTCAGCCAGAAGGGCACCCAGATGATGATGACGACCAGGCCAGCGGGCACAAAAACCTGTGCCATGTAGAAGTCAATGTACTGAGAGATGACGAACTCGAGTCGCAGTTGGGAAAATGAGCCCGTTGTAAAGTGAACCACTCTGCTNGTTGTAAAGTGAACCGCTCCGCTCAAACGATTGTAGCCGAGCAAGTGAAAGGCAGGCAACTCAATAGCTGAATTGAACTCAATAGGCTTCTCATGTTTTTCCAACTGTTGGTTTAAAATGAAAAATTAGTTTAGTAATTTTAAGTTTAAAACTACATTTTAATACTTACAACTTCTGAAAACAAGAGAACATTTTTGCTGTTCAACAGGAAAGTATTCTAAATTCATGGAACACGTTGCTAAAAGGGATATTTTAGTTGAAAAGAGAATGTCTCCGTTTGAAGAAACTCGAATCAATGTAGTGTCTTCTGTAAAAACTGCTTTGTGAACTTTAAGTTCTTTAGAATCTTTGAAAAATGTGCCAGGAAGCCATATTTTTTATGTAAATTGTTCTTCAAAAGATATCTCTGAAATGTTGTTTTTAACTTCAAACTGCAGTCGATGGTCATTCCAAAAATGTCTAAAACTAAAATCAACTTGAAAATCCATAGAAATTTCGGAAATAGAGCTTATGTCATTGATTTTTAGCCCAATGGTTACTTTGACTTTCTGTTTTCCATAATTTAATCGAATGTTTTGATTATAGTTTTTTGGCGGCAATTTAGTGTTTATTAGATAATTAATGTATTGTTCAACATCAAATGCTAATGCAGAATTGTTATCAGCAAAAAATCTAAAAAATAAAAAATGTTTTTAAATAAAAGTAAAATAAAAATTGATTTACTTTGAATCATACAAAACAAATAATAAAAGAAGTTTTAATAATATAAATTTTATTTTATAAACAAGTTAAATCCAAAATCAAAGCTAAAAAAATATTATCAAAACTAACAACAAAGTTTTGATTTTGGTTTTTATTCATCTACTTGTTACTGGTTATTCTTGAATTTTTATTAAATTCAAACAAGTTTTTGATGCGGCATTTTGCTTTTATCAGAAATGTTTTTATATGCACTATCATTTACATTTACCAATCTCAATTGTCCAATTTCTGCTAAATTGTTTAACTGGAATATGTTAAACAATTTTAGTTGAGTTAGTATTTTTTTAAATATTTTGTGTAATCTAATTTTTTAATCTAACTTCACTAAAAAAATGATGTTTCTCCATTTCAACGCACTTTTTTGTTTCTATAAATTATATCGTTCAAGATATAAAAAAACTGTTTTCACACAACAAACAAACTAAATGGCATCTCTCAAATGATACCAAACTTGGGGTGTTTCCAACACCGGATGCATTTTTAAGATCATAAATTCGAACTTTCCGAATAAGTTCTATACG